TTGATTTTGGTCTTCTGTACTGAGATGGGTGTGTTCAAATGTACTATGATTGTGAATGTGTCTGATTTTCCTTGTAATTCTGTTGGTTTTTGCTTTATATAATTTGAACCTATGTTTTTATTTTTTTAAGTTTTTTTTTTCCTTTTTCTCCCCAAAGCCCCCCAGTACATAGTTGTATATTCTTAGTTGTGGGTCCTTCTAGTTGTGGTACGTGGGATGCCACCCAAGCATGGCTCGATGAGTGGTGCCATGTCCGCACCCAGGATTCGAACCCATGAAACACTGGGCCGCCTGCAGCAGAGTGCACGAACTTAACCACTTAGCCACAGGGCTGGGGCCTGAACCTATGTTTTTAGGTGAAAACAAATTTAGAATTATATCTCTGTGTTTTGAATTTTATATCATTATAAAATGTTTCCCTTTTATCTCTGTGCATTTTGCTTTAAAAGCTACTTAGTCTGATATTTTAATATCAGATAGCTTTCTTATGGTTAGTTTTTGTATAGGGTATATATATTTTCCCATCTTTTCACTTCAGCCGCTTTCTGTCCTTATATTTAAGGTGTATCCCTTGTTAGCAGCATGTAGTTGAGTTTTATGTGTTTGTATTTTCAGTTGACAGTTTTTGTCTTTTAATGGCAACATTTAGTTTGCTTTCATTTAATGTAATTACTGTTATATTTGGGTTTTCATCTTCTAGCTACTTTTTTGTTTGCCCTATTTTGTATTCTTTGTTTTTTCTTTTTTGTCTTTGTTTGGATTATTTTTCATTATTTTATTTTTTCTCTATATCAGAGAATATGTAGTAATTGTATATGTACGCTTTACTATTTTAGTGGTTACCTTAGATAGTACTACTTTGACTTAATCAAAAGCTAACATAAATTTCTAATTTTACCTCTTTCCAAGCAATACAGAAATCTTAGAATGCTTTAAACTCTAATTACACTCCTTACTTTTATGCTATTGCTATCAAGCATTTTATTGATAGATGTATTTCAAGCCCTACAAAACATTATTATTATTTTTTGTGAGGAAGATTGGCCCTGAGCTAATAACTGTTGCCAGCCTTCCTCTGTTTTATGTGGGATGCCACCACAGCGTGGCTTGATGAGTGGTGCTAGGTGTGCACCTGGGATCCAACCCTGTGAACCCCAAGCCACCAAAGCAGCACACACCAACTTAACCACTACGCCACTGGGCAGCCCCAAGACATTATTATTTTCAAAGTCAATATTGATTTAGATTTCCCACTAATTTACCCTTTCTGTTAATATTTATACCTACACCCCAGGACTCCATGTGGCTCATCTTCTTTTTGCCTAAAGAACACCCTATAGTATTTAGGTCTGCTGGTAATAATATCTGAATGTTTTTCTCTTTTCTTTCTCTGAAATGGTCCTTTAGTTCACGTTTATTCTTGGTGTGGATATAGAATTCTAAGTTGGCAGTTATTTTCCTTTAGTGCTCCTGAGATATCATTCTGTTGTCTCCTGGCCTCTGTTCCTGATGAGAACTTTGCTGTCAATCTAATTGTTGCTCTTTTGCTCATTTCCACCTGTTCTCTGGTTTTAAGATTTTTCTCTTTGTCCTTAGTTTTCAGCAGTTTTGCTGTAGTGTGCCTCACTGTGATTTTCTTGGTGTTTGTAAAACTTACTAAATGTGTGGTTTAATCTTTCATAAGCTTTAGAAAATTTTTAGACTTTAACTCTTTAAGTATCACTTTGGGTCTGTTTTCTTCCTCTGGAATTCTGGTTTTAAGTATGTTAACCCTCTGACATTGTTCCCTCTGTCTCTTACAGTCTCCTGCCTTTTTTATCCCTTTACCTCCATGCTGCTTTCTGTGTATTTTCATTTGACTTACTTTCTATTTCGTTAATTCTCTATTCAGCTGTGTGTAGTCTGCTTTTTAAAGCCACCTGAGTTTTTCAGTTCTAGAATATCCGATTCTTTTTTGTAGTTTCCAGTTTTCTGTCTAATTCTCAGAATTGTTTTTTAATCTATCTGAATATGCTAAGTGTAATTATTATTTTAAAGTCTGTGTTTGACAACTGTATTATCTGAATCTTCTGTTGGTCTTTTCTGTCAGCTCTTATTTCTCTTGTGGTTCCTTGTTTTCTGTCCATTATTTTTGATGGGATACCAATATGAAGAATATGGAAAAATAATTTGGGCCCTAGTATGATAATATCTTCCTCCAAATGGTATTTGCATTTGCTTCTGGGTTGTTATTGTGTATACAAGCAATCCTAGATTACTTTAATTCAATATCGAGATGATTTTAAATTGAATTTCAGTTCCTGTGGTGGCTGGTCTGTTTGCGCTTCACCTTAACTCCTGGAGTGCATCCCTTCAGAGCTATAACCCAAAGAGTAAGAGGATTTCAAAGTTCCCTTCTTAGTGGGCTCTGGACTCCAGTTCTGCTCTCACCCTGCAAGGTTGTCAAAAGCTCTGCTCAGTTTTTCAGCTGCCTCTTCCAGAATCGGTAGAAGCCATTGAGGAAAGCTTTCTCGAATTCTAAACTTTACTTCTCTAATTTTCTTTCTTCTCCTGGATGTTGTCCCCTTGTTAGCTCTTACATGCTGTCACACAGATTTTTAAAAATATATTTTTCAGCTTTTCTTGTCCTTAGTGGGAGGGCGATCATATTACCTCTGCCATTACTAGATGTGAAAGTCTTGCGTCTTTTTTTTTTAATAAACCATTTTTTCCAACATGTAGTGATTCAAAACACACACACACACACACACACACACACACACACATATTTTCTGTATTTTTCCAATACAGCAATTCAGTTTGTTAAGAAACTGGCTTTTGCTGCATTCTTATTCTTGATTTTATGTTACTGTGAATAAAGAAGACTATCTAAGCCTTCTCTTTATAGTCATATTTCTCTTAAATAGTCTGTTTCTTAGAGAAAAATGGGAATATTAGGGTTTCTTAATTCAAAAGAGTTTTAAAAATATACTGAGTAGTAGTCATATTTAATTGAAATTATTTTGAGCAAGTGAACATCAGTAGTCAGAAATTCTGGGCTCTCTCAGTGCTTGGTTACCACACACATTGCTAAAACATTCTATTAGACACCATTCCATTGTAGACCGTTGAAATTCTGGGTCAGAATAAAAATATCCAGATAATTATGTAGTCCCTGTAGATATCATGGAAGACTAAACAGGATAAACTTGTGGGGAAATTAAAGTCTTTTTTTTTTTCCCCTGCTTTTATCTCCCCCAACCCCCCCATACACAGTTGTATATCTTAGTTGCACGTCCTTCTAGTTGTGGGATGTGGGATGCCGCCTCAATGTGGCCTGACGAGCAGTGCCATGTCCGCTCCCAGGATCCAAACCCTGGGCCGCCACAGCGGAGCATGTGAACTTAACCACTCGGCCACGGAGCTGGCCCCAGAAATTAAAGTGTTAATGTGTTATAGCTTTTGCTTTTTAGAATTTTAGTTGTAGCTTTTTATGTGAACTATTGAGGTTTAAACCACTTGCTAGTACACATTCTGTGTCAGGGTCCCCAAGGCCACCCTCATGTTTGGAGGTGACTCAGCATATAATTGTACTTACAGCTAAGATTAATTACAGTGATGTAATAAGGACATGCAGCTGTATCCTAAGGGGAACGGCATAGGTTGGGGTCTGGAGGAATCTATGTGTAGGCTTTTTTTGTGGTCTCCTTCTCGAGGGATGTCACGTAGAGCAGGCTTCCCCTAGCAACATAGATGCTTGTGTGTAATATTTCTGCCCAGGGAAATCCATTAAACACTCGGCACTCAATGATTTTTTTAGAGGCTGACTATGTAGACACCCTTTGCTAAGCACATACCCAAAATTCTAGACTCCCACAAGGAAAGCAGATGTTCAGCATAAAATGTATTGTTTATACAAACAGTGAGTTACCGTTCTCATTTGGGGAAGGTTTTATATCTTCAAACTGTTTGCCAGGTAAGTTCCCAGAAGCCAACCAAGGGCTATCCTTGCAAGTAAGTCTTTGTAAGGATAGCTGTCTCAGCCAGCTATGTTAACTTGTTTCTGTACACGTGCCTAAAATGACTCAGTGTTAAAATTTTCCGTAAACATTATATGTAAATATCAAAGGTCTACATGATGATTTCTGTTTTGATAATTAGTAAAATGTTTATCATTAAACTTAGGTAGCTAAAATACTTGGGTGTTTATAATGTCTTAATATGTTCCATACAGGCTTTTACTAATGTGCCAGTGCTGTTGTCAGTTTTAATCCATGTGTGGGAAGAACAGGACAGTGTTAGAACATTTAGTACATCTAAAAAGAATGGTTAAAAAATTAAATTACAATGAAAAATAATCCATTATGAAAGGACATTTCAGATGTCTCCTTTTAAAGTTCGTATTGAACCACCCACATATTTTTCAGATTTCATTGGACTTGTTTTTTTTATGGGAGCTTTTTGAGGAAAGTACTTTTTTACCAAGAATTTTGACTAAAACAGCTAAAGTTCACTTGGCAATCAGAAATACTGAAAAAATAATTTCTGACTACTATCAGAATCAAATTGGAGAATCTTAGATATTGTAGACTAGATTTCTTGTTTATAAATGTGGAAGCTGACCCAGAAAGTTAAATGACTGTCAGCGAAACTGCGAATAGCCAGTTAATTTCATTTTATCAGTTTTTAGGCATAGACTGTGCACTTGAAAACATTATTGAAAAATACCAAGAAGCTATGAATTAATTTTGAGTTTCTAGTGACTTTGGATAGCTTTTCATGCCTAATTTGGTCATTTCATTTATTCAACAAACTTAAGTATTTCTTTAACCTGTACTGTGTTTCAGACACTATTTTAGGTGTTGGAGATCTTTTTCTTTCTTGTAATCAAATGAAAATATGTCCCATTAAGAGTGGCTTGGAGCTACCTGCTTTTGTTTAGGTTCTAAAGTACGTACATGTATTACATTGTATCCTGGCCCCTCAAAATATGTTCTCTCTTTTTCTTTTTTCTCCTTAAGGAAATACTGCATTGCATGACTGTGCAGAATCTGGAAGTTTGGACATTATGAAGATGCTTCTTATGTATTGTGCCAAGATGGAAAAGGATGGTTATGGAATGACTCCCCTTCTGTCAGCAAGTGTGACTGGTCACACAAATATTGTGGATTTTCTGACTCACCATGCACAGACCAGCAAGACAGAACGGATCAATGCTCTAGAGCTGCTGGGAGCTACATTTGTAGACAAAAAAAGAGATCTACTTGGGGCTTTGAAATACTGGAAAAAGGCAATGAACATGAGATACAGTGATAGGACTAATATAATTAGCAAACCAGTACCACAGACACTAATAATGGCTTATGATTATGCCAAGGAGGTAAACAGTGCAGAAGAACTAGAATGTCTGATTGCTGATCCCGATGAGATGAGAATGCAGGCACTATTAATTAGAGAACGTATTCTTGGTCCTTCTCATCCTGATACCTCTTACTATATTAGATATAGAGGCGCTGTCTATGCAGACTCTGGAAATTTCAAACGATGCATCAACCTATGGAAGTATGCTTTGGATATGCAGCAGAACAATTTGGACCCTTTAAGCCCAATGACTGCCAGCAGCTTATTATCTTTTGCAGAACTGTTCTCTTTTATGCTACAGGATAGGGCTAAAGGCCTGCTGGGCACCACTGTTACATTTGATGATCTTATGGGCATACTTTGCAAAAGTGTCCTTGAAATAGAGCGGGCTATCAAGCAAACTCAGTGTCCAGCTGACCCATTACAGTTAAATAAGGCTCTTTCCATCATTTTGCACTTAATTTGCTTGTTAGAAAAAGTTTCTTGTACTCTAGAACAGGACCATTTCAAAAAGCAGACTATATACAGATTTCTTAAGCTGCATCCGAGGGGAAAGAATAACTTCAGTCCTCTTCATCTGGCTGTGGACAAGAATACTACATGTGTAGGGCGGTACCCTGTTTGTAAATTTCCATCTCTGCAAGTTACTGCGATACTGATAGAATGTGGTGCTGATGTGAACGTCAGAGACTCCGATGACAACAGTCCCCTACATATCGCTGCTCTGAACAACCATCCAGACATCATGAATCTCCTTATTAAATCAGGTGCACATTTTGATGCCACAAACTTGCACAAACAAACTGCTAGTGACTTGTTGGATGAGAAGGAAATAGCTAAAAATTTGATCCAGCCCATAAATCATACCACATTGCAGTGTCTTGCTGCTCGTGTCATAGTGAATCATAGAATATATTATAAAGGGCATATTCCAGAAAAGCTAGAGACCTTTGTTTCACTTCATAGATGATAGTTTGACTGTATTTTAGCACTGTTAAAGCACGAATTGGTAACAGTTGTTTCATAAATGAGCACTGTTGTGATAACACCAGCATTCGTTTAGCTTGATATCATCGTGCTCTCATTGGCTAAAGCATTATAAGCATCAAATTTACAGGATTGGTTTCCCAGTATTTAATATAAATATACCATATAATATATTGTTTGTGAATTATTGAGAAATATAATGTCATATTCAGATTTCTTGTTTTTTTTTGAGGAAGATTAGCCCTGAGCTAACTACTGCCAATCTTCCTCTTTTTGCTGAGGAAGACTGGCCCTGAGCTAACATCCATGCCCATCTTCCTCTACTTTATATGTGGGATGCCTACCAAAGCATGGCTTGCCAAGCAGTGCCGCGTCCGCACCCGGGATCCGAACCGGCGAACCCCAGGCCACCGAAGCGGAACGTGTCAACTTAACTGCTGTGCCACCAGGCCGGCCCCCAGATTTCTAAAATTGTCTGCCAAAGGCTTATCCATTCTGGTTTTGTTTGCTGTTGGGTGCTTGGGACAGAGTGAACTAGTTTTTGGTGGTGTCTTTATACTTTCCTGGTCTGTGAATTTTATACAATTGACAGTCTTTTTTCCCTGCTTTTTCCTTCTTTTCTCTAAGCTTCTCCCCTGTTTCCACTTTATGTTTTCCTGGCTATTTCTACTTATCAATTTTTTTCCCTTATGGACCCATGCTAGGTTGTACAAACTTTATGGACTTGTTACCATTTGCAGTTACCATAAGTGCTTTATCTTCTCTATGCACCGGCTTAAACTTGACTGTTGTATGTTAGCAAATTTTCTATGCAGCAGTTGGTCAACTTCAACTCAAAACACTGTTAAGTTTGTTACAAAGTTCATTTTATGAAAGTACTCTAGTAGCATGACAATTTTTAGAGCTATAGGTTAGCTACCTGAGCTCAAACTTTTTTGTTTGTTTTTTTCCTTCACATCTGAGATTTCTTTCTCTAATCCACTGAAATTATTGTGTGCTAAATTTGGGAAACAAATCTATTCTAACTCATTAACCCAGTTGAAATTTAGGTCTGTCATCTTAATATATCATGCAGTAAAAGGAAGAATCTTTATAAAGTGACCCACCTTTCATGCTACGCCAGCGTTGTCCTGCTTGTGCTGATGATGTGATTAGGTGTAGAGAATTTGCTTAAATTTAACCTCAAAGTTTATCACACAGCTTAATGAGTCACACTGAAATATTCAGTAATTGAACTGCAAATCACTTTTAGTTAACAAAAAGAGCTGAAGCATGTCAGTGGCATGATGCTTGCCAAGCCAGATCTAGGCATCTAGGATAATTAAGGTATTTTCGTATGCAATTTACTGCCATAGTATCAAAGGTCCGTAACAGTGTTCTTTCTTTCTTCAAGCTTAATTATACCTTTAAAGATAACTTGCATGAGTTACTTTGGTCTCAATTATTTGTCACCATAGTTAAACACAAAAGGTTGCAGTGCTTCCTATTCCCTTACTGAAAGTTGGCTTTTCTTTTCTTTTGAGGTTTTTTTTAACAGCTTTGCTAATGCCACAGAAAGGGCTCTTTTAACTTAAGAACAGATAAGTGAGAAGTACTAAAAAAGATTCAGGTAATTATCATTCAGCACTTTATTGTTATTCAGAATAAAATTTATGATGGCATATTTGCCCTGCAGTTGTCTTAATGAAATTGTTCTGAATAAAAAGCTCCTTATTGGTTTGAGAAAAAATCAGTTTACCTGTGAGTTTAATGAGCCGGATCACTGGGATTTTTGCGTTGACATTTTATTCTGAGGGTTAATATAATGGTATTTAAGGAGTCATCATTGCAAACAGTCACATTAGGTTTATTTCATCTTTACTCAATAAAAAACTTGTAATGAAGAGTAGTAAATAAAAAAACATTAGACTTACTTTCTGGTTAAATAATTGAAGTTTAATTTTTAAAAAGATATCCCTACTCATTTTACTAGGTTGTAAATTTAATTTCACCTTTGAAAAAAGTGGATTGGATATAAATGGTTCCTCTCCAGCCTTTTGATGAAGAGATTTTCTTATTTTATTTACCATGGGCAAAATTGATGGAATATTTGAACTGCCACATCTGATAGGAATAATTTGTGATTTAGACAAATATTCTAGAAATATCAGACATCAATATTTTGAAATCATTTGCCTCTAACCTTGCAATATAAGAATTATATATTCATGAGCTATTTTTTTTAAAAAACAAAAACTTTACAAGTACAGTAAATCTATATTAGTTGATCTCAATAATTTTTGGGTAAAGGGTGAGCAATTTGGATTTTTAAGTGATTTACTATTACCCCCTCATTTTTGGGGGAGGGGGTAGGAAGGCTTACATGCTCTTATAGTAAGGCATATCTCACACACTTTTACAGGTGAACTTGAATTGTGCAACTCTAGTATAAAATAAGGATTTCTTTACATAGCATTTTTCCACCACTAAATATGGATAACTTAGAACTATTCCTCAGTCTTGATAACTGAAATGCCTTTTTCCATTAGGATACAGTTGTCCTCTGTTTGTCATCTTCCCAAATCCTTTTAGGAGCTCTTAAAAATCAGTTAATTTAATAGCTCAAAATTGTCACTGATTTTATTTTAGAGGAGGTTGGTTAATAAATAAATGTGACCTCAGAAACTGTTAAGGCCTTTGTCAGAAAGTATTCTCAAAATTGTTGTGAGACTGAATTAAAAGAAATACTTAAATTTGTGTTATTTTCTTAACCACAGATGAGTAATTTAATACTTAGTGAGCTAATTGTACTCATTTGAGTCAAACTAAACTGTACGCTGTAGCGTGGTGATGTTGGCTGGAGTTATCGTTTTTGATAAGTTTTGATTACATTTCTATAAAAATGCCCTGTTAAGGCCTGCTGAATTTTAGATGTTCCACTATTGGTCATTTCTGTAAAAGAAATGGTCCATTTACTCTAGTAGATTCCATCCTACTTTATAAAGACAAGTGGATTATAGATTTAAAAAATAGTCATTTTCTTATCCATAAATCTAACAGGGCCATAAGCCCAAATCAGCAAAGGATAATTTGGTGCCCATTATGATTTTGAAGTTAAGAGGTTGCTCACTTATAAAGTGACCCCCATCTACTGTGACTTGGGAAGATTGTTTAGGTTATATTTGGAAAAGTAGCTCTTTAAAATCATACCGCCCAGCAGAAATCTTAGGTTGAATTTTACAGGTATAATAATCTTTATAATTAATTTTCTCAGAATTGTGGGGGCCAGATGAGATAACAACCATAATCTTGTACACTGTAACAGCAGCACTGTTTCTTGGAACTTTAACCATTTTAGAATTAGATGCTAAGGAAACTAAAATTATTTGCTCATCTTTTTTTTTTTGCCCTCATATATCACTAAACAACTAGTTTCTCTCCCTTTTTTGTCAGTTCCCATTGTGTATTTTTCAAAAGAAGTACTGTATACAGATGCCAGCCAATAAGTTGTCACACAATGGAAAATGATATGCCACAACATTCATTGTAAGGTTTAATAAAATTAAATTTGCACCAAATACAAGTGTATTCTTAATAACTCAGTACTTGATTGATGTTATCTCAATGCATATGATTGTGGACTCCTGTTTCAAAAAACATCTACTTGGTAATTTATGGTCAGAACTTGAGATAGTATTTGTTATTGATACTTCTATGTAAAATAGCAAAGATGATTTATATACAGTTTAATCTAAATTTTTTTTCCGGTAAAGACCACAGAAACTAAAGATACGGGACGACTTTTGTTGTCAGTTGCATGGGAGAGGAGCTGCTTTTAACTCTTGTTCTTGTTTTTTTAACTGGTTTGGTATTAAGTATCAGAAGTGTGTCATAGATATATTACTATGAAGATAAGTTTTATAAATTTATTTCCATCTGGTTTAAGTCGTAAAATCTAAGTAGTCCTTGTCTTTTCCTGGATATCTCAATTTCCTAATACAAAAAGTTTTAATAGGTTCAGAAAATGCAGTGGCCCTAATTTCTAAACTCCAAGCATAAATTGAAATATCGAGTTGTATAGGCTTTCCCCTTTTGAATCTTTAACTTACCTTACCATAGCAAATACAGGTTTTGTCATCCTTTTGACAGGACCTCGGTCTTCTTTACCCTTGGTTCTATGATTGGCCCCAAGTACCACCACCAATATTTAAAAGGAAATCTTCCCAATGTATGAGGATAAGAATATTATATTTTTAAGGATTTAAATAAGTCGTATGTCCTCAAGATACATTGTGTGTCTGCCCCCCCCCCCCCATGTTCTTTCTTGAGTAATTTGGGGTTGTTGGGAGTTGTGAAATAATTGGTTCCTTCCTGGGTCCTATGTTACGTTACATTTTGTTTATTGTAAAGGCTGTTTTAAATAAGATTTTCTCTCCTAAAATTAGCTCAGCTTTATATAATGATTTCAATTTATTTGATTTTACTAATAGAGTATTTGTGTCTGATTTAAAAAATGAAACAATACAGTTCCCTGCCTTAAGAAACTGAAAATTTAAACTTACAGAAGAAATACATTTAAGACATATACATTCACATTAAAGAAGGATTTGATGAGTGGTAGTTCCGCTAAAACAGTTTGGGTGCTTATTAACCACCATATACTTTGGTGTAAATCAGGGAGTGGAATGGTTTAAAGTGTTTGGCATGATTGCCAAAAATAAAAATGGAAAAAAATTATTCAGTCTGTTATAGAAAATTTACAAAATTTCCCAATAATGTCTCTTGTAGGGTGAGGACTACTTGATTTATTTTAGACATATTTGAACCTGATTTATTAATTTACTTTTTTCTTAACTTTGTTCATTGCAGGTTTCCCCCCTTGTTTCCATAATAGATAACCAGCACTAATTGATCCTAGAATTGATACTTATTTTTAAAATCCTTTCATCCTTATAATTGAATGTCTGTAGATTATAAAGCTATAAAAGAACACGTGATAATGCTTTGTTCTAAAACTTAGCAGGTACCTTGATTCTTTTTATTTTTTAAAAACAAAATGTATTTATTTAATATATTCATTTAAGGGCCCAACTGGAGACAAAATACAAAGAAAGGACAGACCATCTAAGACGACACACGGAGAGAGGCTGGACAGCCAGGGTCACGGCCCTTAGAGGGAATCCAGCTCTGTGTAGAT